TCCTGAAACGCGCCTTAATGTGAATCAACAACATATATACTTGGCGTGCCATGACTCTGTTATGAGCATTATCTCGTTCACAGTGAGGTTGCCGTTACTAATTATGTGCAAGGGCCTCTCAAATAGCCCCCAGGGGTTTTGAAATAAATGTTAAGGAGCTATTTGTTTCCCCACCCCCCCAACCCCAACCCCCCACCCCGAAACCAAAGTTTCTCAGCGGATTTGGGCAGTACTCAGCAAGCGTAGTACAGCCGTGAAGTCGGAACGGAAAAAGAATCAGCGGAGGACTATTTTCTGAGTCGTCGGCTACCGCCGACCGGTCGGCCCCGATCGGTCGGTACAATACGGTCGGCGGTCGGCCCGACCTGTCGGCGGGGATGCAACCCTGTCACCATCCATAAAATTGCTGAGAACACAGCCCCTGCCGTCACAGACACAGCGAGGACAAACAGGAAAACCATCAAACCAGTCCGTCTCCTGGTCCCAGTCCGGTTCAGGTGCCCCTTGGGAGTCTACCAGGTCCCCCAATACGATACAACTACGATCAGCGGCAGCAACACTGTGGAGGATAACCGCAAATCATTTGATCCTGTCCTGGTCAAGCTAGGCGAGAAAGCCAAACTTCACGAAGGCCTCACCTGGAGAGCTTGGAACACCATCACAACACTCCCCTGCAGCGTGCTAGCGAATAGATTATGCCCGATAGGAGTGATGGCGGACTTGCTGGCCGTCATAATCAAGACCCACCTCCTCACCTCGAAGAACTCCTTGCAAGACGAGGCGACCCCAGTACGTATCGAACTGGGGGACAGCGCCAGCGGAGAGGACGAGAAAGATGAGCTGTTGAACAACAATAAGATCTCCCCCGGTGATGTAGATATGGCTGGCCCACCCTTGCTGGAAGGCAGCGTGAGTGCGTACAGCTTGGACCTGTCGGCCAGCAAGGAGCACAGTGGGGGATCCGACGTCGGGAGCCGCGAGACAGCGGTGAATTCGGTAACTTCACCAATTATCGCACAACGAACTACTCCATCACAAAAAAACAAAAAACAACACCACCACAGATAACATAAATGAAAAGAAAGACAAAGTAGGACAAACAGTCGAGGATGCAAAATCAACCAATGGATGCCGACACATCACAAGATAATACTATCACAACAGACCGGCAAACCAGAGGACTCAAAATCATCAACTGGAACGTCAATGGGTTGGGTAACGCACTGACGGAGGAAGATAAATCAAGGGACATCGGGCTAGGTCTCCACGACAGGAATAGACCCAGACCAGATGTGGTTCTACTAGAAGAAACACACCTTTCTAATCTCCCAAACCACGGGGACATAAAAAGGGCAATAGAAAAAAGCTTGAGGGGTTGTGCTTTCACACTATGGTCCAACCTAGAAGGGCTTAGCAAACGGGGGACAGCCATACTCGTACCGAACGCTTCCAAACTATGGTCAGAAGGTCAGATTCTCAGCAGCAGAGGAGACGACGCAAAAGGTAGATGGTCATGGCTAGATGCCAGATGGCAAGACGAGGAACTGAGAATTTTTAACATTTACGCCCCCAACTATGAAAACGAATGCTTAGCCTTCTTCAACAGTATCCAGTCCCTCATCCCGAACCCTCAACCGGTGGTTATTGCAACAAACTAGAACACAACCTTGGATTCAAACCTAAGACCTCGTCTCTCACTCTCAACTGATAGGCCCAACAAGAGCAGGGACCCACATAAGAAATATCATGACAGAGTTCGACCTCATCGACCCCTTCAGAATGTTGCACCCAGAGAAAAAGGTTCTTATTGGTTAAAAGGAACCAGGGCAACCAGACGTCCCTGTGCCGGATCGACTTCTTCTTAATCTCCAAGCACCTCCAACGATCAATCAAACAGGCCGAGATCCGCCCACCAGCGGCCTTTCGGGGTTTGGATCACAAACTGATAGCACTGCTCCTGAATTTTGACTCCCCCACGGAAAAAGGCCGAGGATTCTATAGAATCAACAACTCCCTCTTAGCCACAGTAAGACTAACAAAGGCAGTGAGATGGAACTGGTTCTTCTTGAGACAAAACAGTGCCAGAGTGGATAACAAACATCAATGGTTCGTCGACAATTACACAGACCTTACCCAAACAGTCTCAGCGGAATCCAGAAGCATTGCAGGAGAACGACAAATCAGAAAAGAAGAGCTCCAACTCACCATATCTCTCGAGGAGGACAACCTCGTCTTAGACCCCTCTGAAACGGTTTCACCCAGTTGACCCGACATTTGCAGACAAAGATTCGATCCCTAGACCTGTGCTCAAACCCTCTACATTGACCATGTGTGCTGAGTGAGATTCGATCCCTAGACCTACCCTGTACCCTGTACATTGACCCTGTGTGCTGAGTGAGATTCGATCGAGACCAACCTTGTACCCTGTACATAGGCCCAACGATCTGTGTGAGAGTCAATCCCTAGGTCTGTAGGTTAGGAGTTGAGTTTGTTACCAGTAGGCATAAAAAGAGTTTGTTCTAGAAGTCTCTACCTAAGTCTACTGCAGGCCTTTAGTCTGTCTATCGGTCTGTAGGTTCTAGAAGTTTGTAGGTCCCTGTAGGTAAGTCCGGTGAACGGGTACTAGGGGTAGGGGCTGCACGTGGGGAAAGGGAAAGGCCCACGCGTTCTGGAGAAGTCTCCAGAATACGCATTTTGGTGGCCTGCACCACGCGGTTTGGGTCCAGAGGCCGACGCGTTTTGGCCGAAAGACCCATGCGGTTCGGAAGGCCTCACGCGGTTTGGCCCAGGCCACGAGGTTTGGAGGCAGGACTGGGTACCTCCGAAGAAGTATAAATAAAGACTCGACGTCTTGCCATTCATTCATTCGCCTGTGAGCCATGCGAAAGCGCTGCCTCGGTGACTTGTGCGTGGAGGTCCGCTGGTTCCCTGAGAGGAAGTGGGCAATGAGGAAGACAGCGGCCATAGCTGGCCAGTGAGGAAGACACCAGCGACCATAGCTAGGAGGAGGAAGACGACGGCGGCCATAGCCGCCCAGCTGTTGGTGCAGGCAAAGTGTAGACAGTGTGTGTGTCTGTGTAGCGTGGACATTCAAGGTAGATCCTCGTACGTGAGTGCATGAGGGGGAGTGAGGCTGGTGGTGGAGATGGTGTTTGGCAGCCATAGCTGCAAGTTGTACAAATGACTTGGATTGAGTCTTAATACGAGTTCATTGTTGATTCTGCGTTGCAAGAGTTTGGTTCGCCATCAGTCCGTGTGTATGAATGTTGTGAGCAAGTATGAAGTCAAGTCTGATTGCAGTGGTATCAGAGCTGGTTCCCGTTGTCCACGTTGGAGTTGCAGCAAGTTGGAGGTGAGAGGAGCTTCCATAGCCAGAGTACACCAGAGAGAGAGAGAGAGAGAGAGAGAGAGAGGAGAAGGCAAAAGTGGATGGCAGCCATAGCTGCCGAGCTCGGAGAAGAAGAAGACCACCATCAAGAAAGGAGAAAGAAGAGACGCAGAGAGAAGAAAGAAGAGGGAGGTGAAGTCTTCCATAGCCAAGGTGAAGAAGACGACGAGAGTGACAAAGAAGAAGAAGGTCCACCATAGTCGGAAGGTTGGATGGATGACCACGAGAGTTGACCAACGTTGAGCAGGGGTTAACCAAGATTGTTGACCAATGTTGACCGGAGGTTGACCAAGGGTGCTGACCAAGGGTTGATCGAAGTTGATCGGAGCGTTGACCGGGGAGTTGATCAAGATCGTTGATCGGAGTATTGACCAAGCTGGAGCGAGAAGACGGACGGTACTATCTTTCTAAGCCCTTGCCTAGCGCTTACCCTATGGATGTGCACCTTCTCCCTTCACTTTTGTCCAGGTGGATAGGATTGTGGATGTGGTCTGTTAGAGTCAGTCAGTCATATCTCCCTTCACTTCTGTCCAGGTGGATAGGATTGTGGATGTGGTCGTAGAGTTGCGAGCCCAGACCCACACGGGACTTAGTAAGGCTAAAGCTCGCGACTGACGACTGACGTGTCCCGGGGACAAGACCCCCAAGGACTGGTACTGACCGACGGGCTTCTCAGTGTGGCGTGGTAGGCCCGAACTCCGAGCTGTGGGTTGTGCGTCCAACTGTTTAAAGTCTTGAGAGAACTCGGCTGATCACGCTGTTATGTCCGCGGCGTTAAAGAATTCTTGAGGAGTTATGGGGGATCTCCTTAAATGCCTCCTGATCAGCCAATGAGTTTTGTAGTGGCAGCCTAGACGGACCCGAGTAGCAACTTGAAAGTCCTCTTGGACGAGAGTCAGACTAGTGGGTCTACGTGTTGAGGAGCGAAATCGCTTGTGATTGTGCCCTTTCACCGTGACCACCAGGTCCGGAGTTAGTACCACCCCTTATAGTAGGGAGCAAGACGAGAGAGTTGCCGCCCTTTGGAGGTAGAAAAAGGAGAAGGAGAAGAGGGAATTGATCAATCAGGCCAAAATGTTGGCCTTGCTAGAGGAGCAAGAGGCGAAGAAGAAGTAGATGGAAGAGGAGCTGAAGAAATGGACGGAGCAGGAGGAGAAGATGGCAGCAATAGAGGCAGAGGTGGAGAAAGAAGAAGAAGAAGAAGAAGAAGAAGAGAGAGAAGAAGTGCCATTGGAAAGAAAAAGAGGTGAAGCTAGTACGAGTAAGGAGGAGGAGATAGAAAAGGTATCCCAAGAATGGGCCGCACATCTGGATTTGGGAAAAGATAGAGAGGCAGAATTAGCGATACTCCAAGCAGAGAGAGAAGCGGCAAGAAAGGAGTTGGAGGGAGAGAGGGATCCTGTAAGGAGAAGAGCAAAAGAGGAGGAACAGTAAAGGGCGTGTAAATGGCGCTTATCCCAAGAGAGAGTTAGGTGTCTGGAGGCTGTGGAGTGAGCAGAAAGGGATCTAAAAGTAGCAGAAACTTGGATGGGGAAAATCAGGGAAGAAACCGAGATATCCACTAAACTCGAGACCGTGACACAAAGTGTAGAGTCCCTACTCACCGCGCATCGCGAGTAGATGCAGTACCTCCGTAGTCAAGATATTAAGCTAGAGGCGATGCGTGTTGGATTTAAAGATTTCGCACAGGATGTGATGAAATATATGGTGGGCCAGGTCCACCTGGCAATTAGTAAGACAAAGGAATTCTGCACTGGCGCCATTGAAGGCACCAAGTTAGCAGCTGCCAAGGAAGAAGAGTCGGCCCCACCTCGTCGCGAAAAGGTTGAAGTCCGTTTCCCCGAACCCTTCAGTGGAAAGAAGGGGGAGGATTTCGATAACTGGGAGGCCAACGTGCACTCCTATTTGTGCTTGCAAGGAGACACGCTTGAGGATCACGTTTTGGTGGCCTTCCAGGTCCTTCGAGACGAAGCTACCAACTTTGCTAGGTCGTTAGCCGCGCCGTGAACTGTGACAACGACATGGTCACATATTCCAGATTGACGCCCCTCTCTGAGTTCTTGAAATCACTCAGGGAGCGATCCTCAGATGTGACGCGGGGGCTTAAAGCCTCCGATGAACTTCAAATGATTCATACACGCAAGTGGAAGAGTGTACACGCACTCAAATCCGCTATGGATGAGCTGATTGTTGTTCCTGGGCATGGAGTGACTGATGCCCAACTAGTCAACCTCTTCTATCGTGTCCTACCTGACAATGTCCAGGGACATTCTTCGAGAAGAAGAACCAGCAGGGCATGACTTATGATGTTCTTAGCAGGGAGGTAGTTTCATTCGCCGCCCAAGCATCGCCAGTTACCACATTTTGGCATAAAAAATTGTCTAAAGGAAAAAAGTGGAAGGGGCACACCATCTCCGGCCAAATTAAGGCCAAAGATAGTTTGATACTAACAATGGAGGGAGGTGGCGCAGGTGCGGTTCCCTACTCCAACATTGAGTGGGGACTACAGGAGGAGGACAGTAACGCAGGTCAGGGTAAACCTACGTTGTTGTCACGCCCGGAGGAGGGAGGCCGCAAGGAGGAGGACAAGGGTCCGACCAAAATGGTCGGGCCCCAGGTGGTCGAGGACAGGGCGACCAGAGGGTTGGCGGCAATGGAAACCGCCAAGCGGGAGGAAGGGGAGGTCGCCCGTCTAACCGTCCGCATTCTAGTCGGTCACCCCCCAGACAGGGATGGTGGCACCGAGGCCGGTCCGAGGGTCGACCCTGGGAAGATCTGGGTATTGAAAAAAGCGTATGGCAAGAACGCATTAATAGGTCTCAGTGCGTGTTTTGCGCGGACCCAGGCCACATTATAAAGTTTTGTCATAAATATAGGAACCGCGCTGCGTCTGCGACAACAAAAGACAGTCGCCGGTAGGGGTTGCAACTGCCCCTACCCCAGGAGTATGTGGACCTGAGCGTGCGCGTGAAGTGGAGTCTCCCACTCCACATATCTCCATGGCAGAGGTTCCAAGCCAGCGTCTAGTAGGTTGTCCAGAGACTGTTTGTGTTAGGGTCTCTCTAGACGCTTCCCTCATAGGCTTAGCCGAGGAATTGAAGGAGAGGAGGCAGGCCTGGGCCAAGATGAGGAAGGATGGGAAAGGACAACTAATCCTCGCTGACGTAGAGATTTTTAGAGCTAGAGCAGGAGCCCTGATAGACAGTGGGGCAACTAGAAGTTATATTAGTCGTAAAGCGATGAAAAAGTTGAAGCTCAATTTGAAAGTCCAGCGATTAGCAGAACCTGTAGTGAACATCCTTGCAGACAACAGTAGGATGCGCGTCGAAGAGTATGTCGAGGGGGTCCACGCCTACTTTCGCCTAGAAAAAGAAGGGAAGGTAGAAAAGGTACTACATTCTTTGACCCTCCTCGTAGAAGAAAACCTCCCGTTTGATATTTTGTTAGGCACATATTGGGGAGAGGCAGCAGGAGCCACACTGCACCTTTAGAGAGCATGAGTGCAGACTCCCTAGTCCGTCACGCGAAGTCAAGCAAGTTCGGTTGTACCATGAGTCTGGGGTAGACAACCCCCTTGCCGATTGCTGCCTCAACGCTCCTTCATTCGCCAGAGTTGTGCGGAAGGAGCAACTTGAAGAGCAGGTGTTCGTAGCCTGCGTAAGGCCAGTGTCCGATACGCCAAAAAAAGAGGAGAAGATCCATCCTACCATCGCCAGTCTGCTAGAAGAGTACAAGGACTTGTCTGAAGCACCTTCAGGAGTAGTGCCCAGACCAATCCAGCACTGCATAGAGATAGAACCAGGCAGTAGAACGCGTAAGGGGGCGATCCACAGGATGTCTCGTAAGTGCGGAAGGAGCAGCTTCAAGAGCAGGTGTTCGTAGCCTGCGTAAGGCCAGTGTCCCATACGCCAAAAAAAGAGGAGAAGATCCATCCTACCATCGCCAGTCTGCTGGAAGAGTACAAGGACTTGTCTGAAGCACCTTCAGGAGTAGTGCTTAGACCAATCCAGCACTGCATAGAGATGGAACCAGGCAGTAGAACGCGTAAGGGGACGATCCACAGGATGTCTCCTAAGTAGCTAGAGGAGCTTCGCAGGCAGTTAGACGACCTCCTAGAGAAAGGATGGATAAGGCCTAGTTCGTCACCATTTGGCACACCTGTTCTGTTTGTCCCAAAGGAGGAGGGAGAACCACACATGTGTATAAGACTACAGGGGACTGAATGCCATCACAATCAAGAATGCAGAGCCGCTGCCTCGCATAGATGACCTGTTAGATCGAGTACAGGGCTGCAAATACTTCTCAAAGATAGATCTGAAGTCGGGTTATCATCAAATAGAAGTCCATCCTGACGATCAGTATAAGACGGCGTTCAGGACGAGGTATGGGCATTACGAGTTCATTGTGATGTCGTTTGGACTAACCAATGCACCGACTACGTTTCAGTGCGGCATGAACAACTTGTTTAGACCATGGTTAGATAGGTTCGTCGTAGTCTATTTAGACGATATCCTAATGTTCAGCAAGACCCTCGAGGAGCATGACGACCTTCTGCGGCAGTTCTAGGAAAGTTGAGAGAGTCTAAATTCAAGATTAACACGAAGAAGTGCAAGTGGGCCAAGACAAAGGTTCTTTACCTAGGCCATGTACTACACGGAGACGGCATCCGACTTGAGGACAGTGAGATAGCATCTATTAGAGATTGGTGGAGTCCTCAGACGCTGACAGAGTTACATTCATTCCTAGGATTCGCTAACTACTATAGGAAGTTTGTGAGGGATTTCTCCACGATCTCTGCTCCCCTTGGTAGGTTACTGAAGAAAGAGACAATTTGGAAGTGGGAAGGATTGCACGTCAGGCTTCAAGAAATTAAAGACAAAGGTTCTTTACCTAGGCCGTGTACTAGACGGAGACGGCATCCGGCTTGAGGACAATAAGATAGCATCTATTAAAGCTTGGTGGACTCCTCAGACGCTAACAGAGTTACGTTCATTCCTAGGATTGGCTAACTACTATAGGAAGTGTCTGAGGAATTTCTCCACAATCGCTGCTCCCCTTCGTAGGTTACTGAAGAAAGAGACAATTTGGAAGTGGGACAAGGATTGCACGTCAGGCTTCAAGAAATTAAAGAAGGCCTTGATAGAGGACCCTGTCCTCGAAGTTGCTGATCCATCACTGCCATTTGTCGTCACCACAAATGCTAGTTAGTATGGCATAGGTGCCGTTTTGCAGCAAGATGACGACAATGGTTATAGACCCGTAGAGTTCATGTTAGCGAGGCTGCCCTCAGAGAAAGTCGTAGCATCGACATATGAGAGAGACCTCTACACTCTCAGGCGAACCCTAGACCACTGGAAGCACTACCTGCTTGGGAGGCACTTCAAGGTATATTTCGATCATGAGACTCTTAGATGGCTAAAGACAGGCCAAGATGATGCCCAAGTTGACTAGATGGGTGCTGAGATAGACCAATGTGACTTCGAGTTAAAGCCCGTAAAAAGAAAGTATAACGTGGTAGCCGATGCTCTGAGTAGGAGAGCTGATTACTTCGGCGTGATAGTGCACTATCTAGACATAGGGGCCGATCTGCAGCAGAAAGTAAGAGATGCCTATGCACAAGACCCGATCTACAGTGAGCTGTTGAAAAGAGTTAAGGAAGCCCCAGATAGCGAAGCACACTACCGATCCACGAACGGGTTACTGTTCGAGAAAACCAATGTTGCCGATTGCCGACAGACTATGTGTCGCCAACATTGAAGAGATTTGTAGCCTGATCTTAGGGGAATGCCACGATACAAAAGGGCATTTTGGATGGCAAAAGACTTTAGCTAACCTGATGATGTCATACATGTGGCCAGGTATGAAAGCAGACTGTATAGAGTATGTGCGCAGTTGCAAGGTGTGTCAATGCAACAAGACTACAACGAGAGCCCCGCTAGGTCTTCTTAGACCCTTGCCTATTCCATCAAGACCCGGGGAGTCAGTCTCCATTGATTTCATGGATACTGGGGTCAGAAGTAGGCACGACAAGACTCAAGTCATGGTCATAATAGATCGACTTAGTAAATATGCAGTATTTGTTCCTCTGCCTTGAGAGGCACAAACGGATTTAGTAATAGGAAAGTTCTTTGATTTCTCAGTAAGCGAGCATGGCGTGCCGCTGTCCATAGTTAGTGATAGGGACACGCGATTTACCAGTCAGAACTGGCAAGATTTAGTAATAGGAAAGTACTTTGATTTCTCGGTAAGCGAGCATGGCGTGCCGCTGTCCATAGTTAGTGATAGGGACACGCGATTTACCAATCAGAACTGGCAAGATCTTATGAAAGTATACGGACCCACGCTATTGATGTCATTCGATCGTCACCCAGAGACAAATGGCCAGATAGAGCAGATGAACACGATCTTGCAACAACTACTCAGGATGTATATTAGGCTAGATCAGGTAAACTGGGATGAGATGCTTCGCAAAGTGGCAAGTGCCTATAATAACAGTGTTCATTTAGCCGCCTGTAGGACTCGTAATGAGCTACATAAGCCCTTTAGACCTAGGCGACCCTTTGAAGGATTAAACCGGGACCAGATATAGACCCGACACCCGAGAGTTTGTGTTAAAGCACCGCCGACCTTCACAGTTTCAGGTAGGCGATCTAGTCTGGGTAAGTTCGCACCAGAGGAAAATATCTCGCAAACGCTCTTACCTGAGTACAGAGGGTTGTGGCCTGTCCTAGAAGTCAAAGGAGGAGAGGACGACCCGTCATACACAATAGAGATCCCACCTCACCTCCACACGTACCCAGTCTTCCGTGCGTCCAAGTTGCTGCCTTGCACCATGTCCGACAGATTTCCTTTTCGAAGGTCGATGATCCTGCCAGACATGGATGGTGCATTTATATAGATCGCATAGTGGAAGAGGACGTGTTCACAACAGGAGGTCGAGGTTGTCCCCAAAAACA